TTCTGAAGACAGATCTAAGGGACACCAAGGCCAGTAAGACTGCTCTCAAAGAACTTCACATAAACAAACACACGGAACGCACTATGAATCATGGCAGGAAAGAATAGCGTCCTGGCATTCAGATCATGAAGTAATAGGTTTTTCACCTGTTCGTTTGAATACTTGAGAATTCACACCTACAAATGAACACTTATGTGTAAGAACTTTTGTCTTCAGAAACAATCCCCTTTTTTTCAACATTGCTACTCCTCCCTAAAGTCATTTTCTACAACATCAGAAAAAGATCCATAGGAGAAAATGCTTTGCTACTTTCTATCAATAGACCCTGCACTATTGTTTTTTAAAAAAATTTTATTTATTTATTTTTTGGGGGGGTCAGTACTGGGGATCAAACCCAGGACCTTACGCTTGCCAAGTAGGCACAGCTCTGCTGAGCTACATCCCTGACCCATTTTTTTTTTTTTTTTTTGGAGACAGGGTCTCCCTATGGAGTTCAGGCTGGCCTTGAACTCACTGTGTAGTCCAGGCTGGTCTTGAACTCTCAGTGATCCTAATGCCTCAGCCTCCCACATATCCAGCTCATGGACACAGTACCGTTCTACCTGCCATCTTTCATCAAATTTAGTAATGACAGACTTTTTTGCTATTACAGGGAAAAAACAATCATACCTCTAAAGGCCATTAAAATCCACCTGATGTATTTGCATCATTAGACTGTAAATTCCTACCCAGAGAACACACAGAGGGAAGAGTTCTCATAAATATCACACAATGCTGGGTGTGGTGGCCCAGGCCTGTCATCTCACCATGGGGGAGGCTGAGGCAGGAAGATTGTCAGTTTAAAACTAGCCTGGGCATGTTCAACATCCCTGGTCATTCATGAAATGCAAATCAAAACAACTCTGAGATTCCATCTCACTCCAGAAAGAATGGCTGCTATCAAGAAATCAACTAATAACAAATGCTGGAGGGGCTGTGGGGAAAAAGGGACCCTGCTCCACTGTTGGTGCAATCACTGTGGCAACCAGTGTAGAGATTTCTCAAAAAACTAAAACTAGAGATCCCATTTGACCTAGCTATTCCCCTTCTTGGTATCTGCCTGAAAGAACTAAAAGCATTGTACTACAGTGATACACGCACAGCCATGTTTATAGCGGCACAGTTTATAACAGCTAAATCTTGGAAACTGCCCAAATGCCCATCGACAAGTGGATAAAAAAGATGTGGTTTTTCTATACAATGGAGTACTACTCTGCCATAAAGAAGGATGAGCTCCAGATTTTTATAACTGAATAGATGCACCCTGAGACCATACTCTTAAGTGAAATAAATCAGACACACATGTTTAAACATTGCATTGTTTCTCTGGTGTGAGAAACCAAAAGTGGAAATAAGGACTAAAATGTATAATCAATATTGGGAAAAGGGAAGAAAATGTTCAAATGGGAAGGGGAACAAGGGAGGAGGGAGGGAGAAAGGAAGGGACAAAAAAATGAAAATAGAAGGAAAAAATGGAAACAAGGCTTTTATACATAGGGAGGTGAGGGGGCTTGAGGAGAGGGCGGTGGGATAAAACAAAATTTATTAAAAAAAAAAAAAAAAAGACTAGTTTGGGCAATCTAACAAATTCAAGGCCAGCCTGGACTACTCCTGCTTCAGCCTCCCAAGTGCTGGGATTACAAGGCATAGGCTACCACCGTGCCCTGCACTTTTTTCCGTGATGATGGTGTGATGGAACCCATGCTAGACAAGTGCTCCACCACCTAGCTCCACCTCCAGCTTCATCTTCCTAAGTGGCAACCCCAGCCCTAGTAGTGGCATTGTCTTCCGAGTCTAGATGGGGCCCTTGTCTGTAATCCCAGAACTCTGGGAGCCTGAGGCAGGAGGATCACAAGTTTGAGCTCTGCCTGGGCTTACTGTCTCAAACTACAAAATCAAACAGGCTGGAGATGTAGTTCAGTGGGAAGTTCCTGGGCTCAATCCTCAGCACCATACAAAAACAAAGATAAAGGTCCGGGGAATTTAGCTCAGTGGCGCCGAGGCAGGCGCAAGGTCTTGAGTTCGATCCGCGGTACCGAAGGGGGAGGGGGGAAGACAAGGAGCCCTAGCACCACAGCAGTCTTTGGGGCACTCTCCACCCTCTCGACAAAGTAGCCAATGAGGGACACAGCAGTACGTGTGTTCCAAACACTGACGGGAAACTCAAGTCAGTGTGAGAGGAGGGAGCATTCGACCTCCACGGCCTTCAGGTCCAAGTTCTCTAGCCTCTCCCGAGGCGAGGCCTCAGCAGTAACTTCTCCGGGCCACGTGACCACGGCCTCAAGCCCAGCGCACCTCCCTCTTCTCAGCCCGGCCCCGCTCACAGCCGTAAGACTGGGCAGCTGCTCAGGGCAAGCTTCCAGCACAGACCTCTGTTTGCCTACCCAAACAGGGTGTTATTAACACCTGCTGCCCTACCTGCTCACCTGTGATAACCCTGCCTAGGAACAGGCCTGACTGAGGTCAGACATCCAACTTGGAGCTTCGAATGTTCAGACTTCCTAGGGGAGGGCAAAAGGCTTCTGACCCATTCAAAGGTTTTGCTGCAGATTTTCAAGCCCCCCCACCGCAGACAAATATTCACACAAACTGGCTTCAGGCTAGGGATGGCATACACCCAACCCTGTAATCCCAGCACTTGGGAGGCAGAGATAGGAAAATTACTGCGAGTTTGAGGTCAGCCTGAACTACATAGCGAGACCCTGTCTTGCAAAGGGTTAACGACCATAAGAAGCTATCCCTGTAGAGGGAATGGGGAGGGTTCCTACACTCTCAGCTGGAGTGATTTACTCTAAAAGCTCTTCCAGGGGAGCTGACAGCCCCTGGAAGCAAGCCAGGCAGGCATTCTGTCAAAACCCTGGCTTATGGACACCAAACCCAACCTCATGGATAAGTTTACCCAGATACAATCATCACATTTTTGTCTTTTTGTGTGTGTGTGTGTGTGTGTGTGTGTTGTCTGGGGATTGAACTCAGGGCCTCTGCACTGAGCTACATGCTCAGCCCTTTTTTATTCTGAGATGGAGTCTTGCTAAGTTGCTAAGTTGTCCAAGCTAGGGTCAAACTTGTCATCTTCCTGCCTCAGTCTCCCAGAGTGCTGGGATTACAGGTGTGCACCACTATTCCCTGCACAATCATCACTTTTCACAGATGCCAGAGATCTGAAAAAGTGAGGAGAGTTACACAGTATTCTACGAATTCATGAGTACTGGATGTGGTCTGTGGGTGCTAGTTAGAAATGCAGGAACTAGCCGGGCATGGTGGCGCACCCCTGTAATCCCAGCACACGAGAGGCTGAAGCAGGAGGATCCACAGCTTTGATGCCAGCCTGGGCTACTTACTGAGTTCAAGGCCAGCCTGCACTACAAAGTGAGACACTGTCTGAAAACAGCCAACCCAAAACAAAAAACCCAAAAGAAATGCAGGAATCTCAGGCACACCCCAAACCCACACAATCCAAATCTACATCTAAATAGGGGCCCCAGGTAATTCCCTTGCTAACTCAAGACTGACCAACAGGACTGAGCAATGGAGCAAGAGGAGGGTGCCAGGCAAGAGCATTTCTCACCAGGTTAAGCTCCCTGCCCTGACAAAGGGAGGGTGAGCGGGTTCTGGAGGGTTCCCCACCTTGGGGAACTGAGGTGGGCCAGGCTCTCCGACTTTGGCAGGAGCAAGCTGGGTTTCCTCAGGCTATGGCCTGTACTGTGCCTGCCCCACTGAACATCCAACAAAGGCTGGAACTGAGCTTCTAGCTCTGCTGCAGAAGCCTCTTCCCCTCTCTTCTCAATAAAGACTTTCAAAGGGAAGGGGATCTGCAGTGCTCCGCCAAATCCCCCACCTCCCAGGCCAAAGCAAGCAGCGTCCAGAGATGCCTATACAGACACTGCCGGTTATCGCTAAACGGCCTGACACCAACCCAGGCCCCGCTCCCGACCCCAACAACAAAGGGGACAAACCAGGAGCTATCTGGGCCTTCAAAGCCTACCTCCCTACCCACCCTGGACAGCTGCTTCACAGCCTCACTTGAAAAACGCCAGAATTGTCAGGGAAAGGTTCCGATAAATACATCATAACCGAGACAAAGGGAACAACGTGGGCTACACAAGGCCGAGCAAGGAGAACAGAAATCGAGTTAAGGGTGGCAAGATGGGTCCCTGGCAACTTTTCCTTGGGTCATTTCTAATAAAAGTACCAGGCTGCCACTTCTCTTTCAGTCTGGGAAAGCGGTGTGACAATGTACGACGGCCACGTGCTCAAGCTTTGGGGCCTCAATGCCCCGCGCTGTGGAGTAGGAGGCACAAGAGGACGAGAATCTCTTCGCTCCCCGACAGCCCGCGGACCTCCGATCTGGCTGTCCCCGCTGCTAGGAGACAGCGGCTGGGGTCCGGCCGCGGGGCGGGGCGGGGCGGGGCCAGAGCGAGGTTGGAGGGAAGCGGCGCGCCACGAGGATTTCATCATGCACTTGGCCCGGCTTCCTCTTCCTCAGCCACGCCAGCACGGCCACACTGCGCCGCTTCTCTGACAGAGGGACGTGTTTGTCCGCACGGCCCCTCTACGGGGACCCCTCGCGCGTAAACACGTGACGCGCCACAGGTGCCGTGGCGCGCGGCTGGAGCAGGAGTGCGGTCCCCAGGTTCCATCCCACGCAAAACCAAGGGTGCCTCTGGGAGGAGAGAGGACCCTGGCAAGGGGCGTCTTCTGCAACGGAGACTGCCCATGGCAGGCACACTCCAGGCCTGGCCATTCTTGGACCGCGGGCCATCCCGACCCCACCCAACCCAGCTCGGCAGGCGGTCGCACCTGGAGCGCGGATCAACGCCACGGGAACCAGGCGAGCAGTGTGCAGCCCAAGCTCCCGACCATGCACCCCGCAGGCAGGAGGCCACCCCGTGCCCCTCGCCGCCTCCCTACGCCTTTGGCCGCTCTTCCCAGCCGACCGGCGATCCCAGATCCGCGCCTACCTCCCGGGGTGGTGCTGAAGAGCGTCCCGCCGGGGGTCGTGCTGTAGTCCCCGGGCGGCAGCTGCACGCCGTCGCCGAGGACCACCCGGCGAGTGGCGGGGATGGCCCGGCTCGGGGTCTGACTGCAGCTGCTGCCCCCGGACATATTCGACCGCTCGCCTCCCGCGCCTCCCGCCAGTCCCGCCCCTTCCGCCCCGCGCCCTGGGACTTGCGGTGGCCCCGCGGTGGCCCCGCCCCGGCCCCGCCTCCGGGCTCTGGAGTCCCTGCGATCCCGAAGCGGAGGAGCACGGCCGGCGGGGTCGACGGCTCTCCCAGGTGAACGCCTCTTTGGCGGGGATCTCAGCGGAGCCGGCTCTCGGGAAGGCTCGATTTGCACCTCAGGACACCCAGCTGGAGGTGACTCCCAGGCCCCCGGTTCTGTGCGTTAGGTCCTCGGTTGAGAAGTAGGAATTGACGGGTCCGTCCCCTCGTGCGTGTTCTTCACCTTTCACGAAGTGACCAGCTATGAAGAAATGGCCCAACAGTGCTCGTCCCCGGCCTTGGAGGAGGGTGGGACGGTGAGGATCAGCCGCTGGGTTCGGGCTAGCGCTGCTGAGGAGCGGGGAGGGCCGAGAAGTGGGCTGGGTTGACGGTCCCAGAGCCCCTGCGTTCGGTCCTGTGCCCAGAGCGTCCACTGGGCACGCCTGAGTGAGACTGTCCTCAAGAGCTCTCCGGTGGAAAGGAAAAATGCAGAAAGGACGAAGAGGCCCTATGGGTTAGAAGAGTTTACACCAGGTGGCCATATCTTTCAGTGGGAGAGGAGAAAACTGAAAAGGGAAATGAAAGTCCAGATTGTTAAAGGATCTTTCAAAGGTAGGATTTTCTTTTCTCTCTGTAGCCACATACTAGGCAAATAGCCTTACACTGGGAATATTTTTTTGGTGGTGGTAGGCGGGGTGGGGTGGGGTGGTGGTGGTGGTGACTGGGGATTGAACACGGGGCCTTCACATTCACATTGAGTTACATCCTCAGCCCTTTTTAAATTTTGAGGCAGGGTCTCATTGTGTTTCGTAGGCTAAGCCTGAACTTGCAGTCCTGCCTCAGCCTCCCAGAATACTAGGATTACAGGTATATTATATTTTGGGCTAGAAGTATAGTTAAGTGATAGAGTGCTTGCTTAGCATGCACCAGGACCTGGGTTCAGTCACCAGCCCGGCAAAATCAGTGTTTCTGTTAGATAACACTGGTCTACTAATTGACTGTGTGAAAACAGTTCTAAAGTTCTTAGACCCTTCCTCCCTGCGGGCGGGGCTCGCCCAGCTGAGGTCCTGCAAAATGATGGAATCATCAGATTTTTGTTCTGGCAGGCACATCGTAGGTTATTAACCCCATTTTATTTATTTCTCTTCTTAATAGCAAAACATTTCTTGGTACATTTTAGGCTTACCTAATGATAACACTCATCATAGGGGATTTGCACCTGTAGGTGATACATCCCGCCTCTTTTTTCCCATTTCCCCCTTTCTGTGTACAAAAGCTTTGTTTCATTTTTTTTCCTTCTATTTTCTACTTTCTTTCTTGTCCCTTCCTTCCTTTCTCCCTCCCGACTCCTTTGTTCCCCTTCCCATTTGAACATTTTCTTCCCATTTCCCAACATCTATTACACATTTTAGTCCTTATTTCCACTTTTGGTTTCTCACACCAGAGAAACAATGCAGTATATAAACATGGACCTCATTTTATTAAAAAAATAAAAAACAAACAGCAGAAAACTGAAGCCCAAGGAGGAGCAAGGGTTTGGAAAAGAACACACAACTGCTAAATATCTGAGGCAGGAGAAGAACCCAGTGTCCTCTCCTATGCAGGCCAGCCCTTTTCTCACCACAACGGAGAACAAAGTGGTTTACCCTTCTCCCTTTGGGGAACAAGTATTGTAAGTTAGAGCCCAGTTGGGTTACATAGCAAGTTCAAGCCTGCCCTGGATCACATAGCTGTCTCAAAAGAAAACACTAAGTAAATATGTAAATAAAATGGGCACATGCCTGTAATCCCAGCATTCGGGAGGCTGAAACAGGAGGATAACCTTGAGTTTGAGGCCAGCCTGGGTTACATAGTGAATTCAAGGCCAGTTTGAACTACAGAGCCAGACCTATCTCAAAAAAACCCAAAAAGCCAAAAATGGGCTGGCGGGTTGGGGCCAGAGTAGACTGGGGACTCCTTGGCAGCCCACTAGAAGACTGCTCCTCACGCAAAGATAGCTGTTCCCTTCCAAAGATAAGACAGCTAGAAGGTGTGAGAGTGGCCTAACCCGGGGTGAGGGCTGTGGGTTCCAGCCTGTGCCACTGAGAAATGGCTCCCATAAGATGTCGTGTCTGTTGGACAGGGATGGATCTAAAGATCTCTGAAGACTCTGAGCATTAACATTTTATGATTACGTGTGCCTGTGTGTGTGATCTTCCTCCTTTACCACTGAGCTACAGTTCTAGCCTTTTTTATTTTGAGACAGGATTTTGCCAAGTTGCCCAGGCTGGGCTCAAATGTGTGACCCTCCAGCCTCAGGTTCCCAGAGAGCTGGGATGGGTTTTTGTGGAGGTCTCATTATGCATGACTGTTTAATCACAATGTTGCCCAGTAGATATAACTGCAGCCCCAAGCAGGTCCCAACTGTTTTATTGTCTTGGTCTCCCCCGCCCCCCAGTTCTTCTTCAAGACAGGGTATTGCTATGCCGTTCAGAACTCACCATGTAGCCCAGGCTGGCCTTGAACTCACAGCAATCCTCCTGCCTCAGCCTCCCCAGTGCTGGGAGTACAACCATTTCACTGACATACATTGACATACCAAAGACACGCTTATCACTGGGAAAAACCCAAGGGTTGAAGAGCATGAGGCAACATGACAGAGACCAGTGTGTATTTCACACATCACAGAACTGCAGCTCCCATGGGGCAGGGCTTCGTGCTGACTCCCTGTCACCGCATCTACCTCAGAGAGGCAGTTGGTAATCCCTCTGGCTGCTGCAGCCATAGCTGCAAACCATACTTGTTTCTGGCTGCTCAAAGAGGCTTTTAAAAAAACCTATTTTGATTTCATTTATCATGATTATTTCAGTACTTGTAGAGGTCAAAAGAAAGAAAACAGGCTGGGTGTAGAGGCGAATGGATGTAATCTCAGCACTCAGGAAAGCTGAGGCAGGAGGATGGAAGATCTGAGCCCAGCCTGGGAACTCAGTGTTCATCTTAGTGCAGTTTTGTTCTGCTGGATGAACATGGGGACAAAGTACTGAGAGGGGGGTCCCCAAGAATTTGGTCTTGGACACAGTGATGAAGTAAAGTCTGCAGATTGTGCTTGGAGCCACTAAAATCCTACTTAAATCTTTGAACACTCAGAGCCTTCCAAACACAAGTTCACCACTGGGAATCTCTCCCCTTAGCTCCTCCTTCTGTGTGTTAATGAGACAGCTGGTGGCTGGGGGAGGGGATTTTTAGATTGCTTTGGGATGGGAGCCAGTCACCTGCAAGACTGAGGCATGCTTACACGATTGGGATGTCCAGCCTCTGGATAGAGGAGGGGACCGAAGCTGAAGGTTAAATGGATCTCCAGGGGCCAATGATGCCATCAGTTGTGCCAGCCTCGAGAAGTGGAGAACATCTGAAGTCCCAGCATTCTAGAAGCTGAGGCAGGAGGATCTTGAGCTTGAGGCCAACGGAGGCTACATAGTAAGACTGTCACAAAAACAAAGGAACCAAAAACGAAATGAAACAAAAACCACCCCTATGTAATGAAGCATCCATAAGTGCTGAGAGACAGAGAGAGAGAGAGAGAGAGAGAGAGAGAGGAAAAGAGGGAGAGGGAGAGAGAGAGAGTGAGCGAGCGAGAGAGCAAGAGCGAGAGAGCGCTTCTGAGTAACTGCCTGGCTTCTGTGTCATGGAGGCTGAATGGGGAAGGCCTCGGCTGGGGAGGGACTGAGGGAGACTGGGACCAAAGCCTTGGCGTGTGAATGTGTGTGTGTGGCCGAAGACACTCCTACTTCCCCACTGGCCATGGTCCCTTGGTCTTTGGTGGCTGTGCAGTAAGGGTTACTGGATTTCCTGGGGCTGAGGAGTCACCCTGCTTTCAGGACCCTGCCTCGGGTGTCCCCGTGTATCCTGGTTGTGGTTGTGGCCGAGCAGAACCAGTGCAGCCACTGGTTCTGGGACCAACGGGCTTCCAGGACACTCCCAGCGCTGGCCCTCTGGCTCTTCACCCTCTTTGACCTGTGTTTGCTTTGTGTGTCTTTTGCCCTGAATGTTTGCTGATGTCCCAAGAAGGTGGTTTCTGGAGTGAGTTCTGAAGACAATATCAGGTTTCTTGAATAAAGAAGATGATTGTGCAGCAGCAGAATTTCACACTTCTAAGGGACTGTCCTCTCCTTTAACATGTTAACTTATTGAAAAACCAGTAAATGGGTAGTGGTTGCACTTATTCATTGCTAAGTTCTTAGGACTAGATATATTGGTTTATGTTTAAAAGCTTTTCCAACCCATGGCTTTACAAGAGCTGGGTATAAAAGTATGTGCCTTTAAATGTTTAGTATATGAAGAAATATATCTTCAACATCTTATGGGTCAGTCAGGGTTTAATCTGATAGAAATAATATGGTGTATAATGAGGTAAGGTACTTATAAATTCAAAAGCAAATTACTCAAAAGCAAGGGATTTTGAGAGAAGGCAGAACGTGTTCTTAGACTGCATAAAGACTACAAGTAACAAAAGCTACAGAGAAAATATAGGCCCACTGTGTATTGGTTCTGAATGTTTAATTTTTAGATTAGCAGTCTTAGGCAAAGATATGTCACAGTCCACAGGTTGATACACAGTCCTAGAAAAAATAGATATTAGAATGGATGCTATCCCTTAATTCCTTTTAAACTCTTGAGTCCCCTAAAATAGGACTGTTTGAAATGTATTTTTTATTGCTGTTGTATTAAGTATGCTTGTGGCCAGAACATATTTTTATAGTGCTTGTAACTTCCTTACATACTTGAGCAGGTCTGGGACACTTATCTATTTCGTAGGTACTGGGGCCTAAGCATTATTTTAGACACAGGGGGGGAACAAAAATTATTCATGGAGCTTACTTTCTCTTTTGCTCCTTTTTTTTTTAACACTAGAATGCACTTTTATTTTTCAAAACACAATATAAATGCTATTGTTAATAACAGTATTGATAATAATATCACAGGTACCACTTCATGTTACCCATTCAGGTGTGTGCTTCCTTTGTTCCCTTTTAAAAATCGTGTTAGGGTCCAGGATTTAGCTCAGTGGTTCCGTTGCCTGCCTCACAGGACCTGAGTTCGATCCCTGGTACCAAAAACCCACAAACAAAATAAAAATCATATTATGTTACTTAGTAAGAATTTACATTTGCTTCCCACATTCCATCATTATGTAATGAAAACGTGTACTGTAAGAAGAGCATTGAGGGGGCCAGGATGTAGCTCAGTGACGCCACGCCTGCCTCACAAGTACAAGGTCCTGAGTTCGATCCTTGGTACTGAAAAAATTTCAAAAAAGAAGAAGAGCATGGAGGGATCCCAGCCCTCCTCTCACACACTCACGAATCACACGTAGTGCATTCTTTTCTGACAGGTGTGCAGGCCTGCGGCTTTGGGAAGGGCTGCTGTGTGAGATGAGGAAGTGGCAGCTACGGGGATGAAGGCGAAGAGCACAGAGCAGACCGAGTGGGGCTCCTGGCCTTGGCCAGGGTTCCCCAGATCTTGTCCATCCTGGGCATGGCTGGCATGCTCTGTGGCCTGTCTGCCTTCTCTCCCTTCCTTTTTCTCCTGATTTGCAATCCCAGCCAAGGCTGATGAAAACCTTAATGCTGAGT